GACTTTCTCCTCCAAATCATTCAAGAACATAAGGGTTTCTTACTTTGCATAAAGGATAAAAGAAAGGAGGAAAAAGCTTAAGGTTTTCATGTCCTTAAAAGTATTTATAGAGAAAAATAAGTGTACTCGGGTCAACCCAAAACATACCTAGTCAAACCTAGATTTGTGTTGCGGATAAAATTTTGTTCGACCAGTTTGTCCGACCAAAATAAGGAAGTGGGTTGGCCCAGAGCATGGCAGCGACTTCTGACTTCGTTCTGTCCGAGTTGTTTGTCCGACCGAAATAAGGAAGTGGGTCGGTCCAGCCTTCATTCGTCCATAACTTGGCTTTTCTCATCTCTTCTTGGTTAGTCTGCCTATGTTTAGGGTGCTCTTTCTATGATTACTCCGGAGTGGCTGCAACTTTTGCATCACCGCCAGCTGCAATGCCTTTGGCTAAATCTCCACGAGTTAACACTGATTTAGGAAGAGGTCTAAGGGCTGTTGGAATGGCGACATCTGCGAAGCGGAGGTATATCAGTGACATGGAGCATGCATCCAAATTTTCACCAAGAACTACTAAACGAGTAAGTCACTTTTTCTTTGATCTAAAATTTGGACATGTTGAGAAATTTGGACAGATCATGTATTCAAAACATTTGATATAGAAGCAGTCATGGAGGCATAATCTGTCTAATTCAAAATCTCAGTATCCAAAAAATCTCCATCTGAACAGCAGACTTCATCAAAGTTTCAGCACCAGATCTGGAGTCGAAGAGCAGAACTCTCTGCATGAGAAGTTTGATACATGCTGCCAAGAAGGTAATCTAAAACATGCCTTGGAAACTTTGAAAATGATGGAAAACATTGAAATAGCTAAGATTGAGGATTATAGAGAGATTGTTGAAATGCATGGGTTAGCTGGAAATTTGGAAGAGGCAGTTAAATTGGTTGATGGAATACCTAAAAAACATAAATAGCAGACATCTATTATCAGGGTATAGGAAACCCTATTGTATTTCTCTAGGGTTCATGGGTATGCAGAGTTGGGAGATAGATGTGCTAGCATGGTGGATATTTTAGATCCAACTCTACTGAATGCATATGAAAGAGAAGGGTTACTCACTCCCACTGCATCAGAGAATCCCAAAAGGTCGAGAGTTCCTAGATTTCACACTTTTGGGCATATTAAAAAAGAAGGACGGAAGAATATATACGTGGCAAATGATACAAACCTTCAAAAGAACAAATCAAATGAACTTCTTTTGCACTTGATAAGATGCATACCGTTAATGATAATAGAAGAAAAAGAAAAAAAAAAGCAGATTGATGCGTGTAGAGAGAGAATCAAAGTTTTAAATATCTCTAAGCGTCAACCACAAGTGCATGGCAATCATCATTGTAGTACTTAAAGGTCATTCTTCCACAAGGAGTTGTATCATAAGACAATAAGAATGCAAGAAACTAATGAAGTTAGGTTGATTGAAATGGTTGAGTTCAATTTCGATTCTAACAACCTAAATGAAACGATGCAAATATGTAAATGAAACGATT